TAGCTGTGCGAACGGCGCTCTACAAGCTAGTTTCAGCTCCAATCAATAAACTAACACTCTCACAAGTAAACAGAAGCAAGGCCAGAAAAATAATTTGGCAAACTAGAAAAAAATCACTGAGTAGCTGCTGTCCCTCGCCTGTTTCAGTTTATTACTGTAAGCAAAGACAAATACGAATTCTTTTATCAAGAAAAATTTTTTTGATACCAATATCGTTTTGTACATGAAAATTTCTCAGAGTATTTTGGCCTAGCCAAGTCATCTAAAAGTGCTCTGCAGCCATACTATGCTAGATAAAATCTACATTTTCGATTCATTATTAGCGAAAACCTGCCACTCTGAAGCGGTCTTAGGGTAAAAGAGTAAGAAGCGGAATGGAATAACCATGCACTGGGAGCTTCCGGGGCTGGCAAGTCAGATAAACGAAGATATCAACCAGAACGTACTTGACTGTATGGATGTGTATTTCGAAGTGAACGGAGCTGCGATGGAGGCATCGCCAAGCCGCACCACCTGAACTTTTTCCTCTTCCTCTAAATCCTTCATCATTTGCTCAAATCGCTTTGCAGCAGCACTCGATGCAGCATTATGCCTGTTCATTAGATTAAAATGCTCAAGACAATCAGGAAGAAGCCTCGCTTAAAATGTTTACTGATATTCTGAAATTCATAATTGGAACAAAAAAAAGAAATCATCAAGAGACAAACCTGATCTGTCTGGCACCAGCGGGAGCATCTGTCCGTCGGCCAGAGTGTTGTGTTAAAGCTTTTTTCAAAAGATTTGATGGAGGGTTCAAATTATTTTTTGAATTAGAATGAGAATAATTTGTTTGGTCCTGTGAGGGATTCACATTTGCTCCGCTTCCTTCCTCTTTCTTTTTCGTCTTCTCAGCAATCGTAGCATCATACGGATGAGACAGCAATGCAACACCTAAAAAAAAACAACAGACGAATGCAGACACTCGAAGCGCTAAAAAAATGAACAGGCCTGATGAAAGTCAACCATGTAATAAGCCTAACCGACATCGGCATGTTTCAGTGCACCAACATCATTTGTGCCATCGCCACACATAAGAGTGGTAAATCCAAGCGTTTTAAGCTCAGTGATGACTCGTTCCTGAATCAAAACAAAGAAAACTGAAGAAGGTAAAATGAGGCACAACATGATTAGTGAAATTATGCATAAAACGCTGAGTGCCTCTAACTACAAATCTTCCATAAGACACTTTTAACAAAGAGAATTTCAAAATAACTTTCAAGCGCGACCTTTTGTTTCGGCGCCATTCTGGCAAATATCTTTACATGAGGCATGATGCAGCGGAGGAAATGATAGTGCTTGCTGAGTAGATATATGAAAGCCTACAAACATGAAAATTACCGCAAACTAAGAATTAAAACAAAAAGCACTCCCTGGAAAAAAATTAATGGGACCGTTTTTTTGTGACAAGTGATATCTCCAAGGCAACAATGCTAAAAACAGCAATCAGATGAAGGAACTATGTTGGACATACCGGTCCAGTTATGCAAAACTCGTATTCACTAATAAAACGCGCAACAGCAGCATTTGATTTCGGCAGCAGACTGATTTTTTTGTCATCATTCATTGATAACCACGACCAGTCATCATCGCCTAAACATTTACCAAGTTATGTGAATACCAAAATTTACAACTACCTTCAGTTTATCTCAAATAACTTTTGATAAGTCGGAACAACAGTTAACTCCAACAGCACAAAAATCCATACTAAGCATCAGAGTAGCAGCAGAGCTGAGAAGAACCATGATTTGCATATCAAGTCACCTTCAGTCATGACAGAGTTGCGTTTACAGCGAGTTCACAGCCATAATTCAAACA